TACAGACAGGTCCGCTTCCAAGGTGGAAATACCTGCAACTGCAATATCGACTTTTGGCCCTGGGCCCTGAACGATCTGGATGATAGCAGATAGCCTCCCAAAACCTCGACTCACTCACTTTCATCTTACAGAAGCTTCATCTTTGAAAGGCCACCAACGAGGCACGGCATTTGCTAGGGGAAAAAAAAAAGAGGGGAGCAGGTCTCACTGGCGAGACGCTGAAAGCACTCTAGACTCTAGTGTACCTAGTGTGTATTGTCCACTCACACCGCTCTTTATTACCGCCTTATACTACATGTCTGCCGCCTCTATGCTATGTACCCGATGATGGGGGTGTGTCGATCGGGGGAGAATGGGAAGCACGAGGGTTTCCGGCGCCCTGGAGCAGCTAGGATGTAGTCTAGTGTACTGCGTGGACTATGGAGTTGCGTGCGGTGACTGATCGTGGACCGGCACTACTGGATCTCTGTTTATGGACCTTCCTTTCTTGTCGTGCCGAGAAGCTTGGTGACAGCCTTGCGGAGTTTTGTGAAGCGCCTCTGGACTTGTGTGTTGTGTGATGGGGAACATTGGGCGCTGGCTGGCCTCGTCTTTGACCATTTCTCGAGCGTTAAAGGACTACCCCTGCCCAGTGCATGGGGCCGCGAATGCCGAACCGTGATATGTTTGAGAATTAGCGGGACGATATGTCTTGGAGGACATTCCAAGGAGGGCTGTCCTCCATTTTACTTCTCTTTCGTCGCTGGGCTTTTGGCTGTGGGAGTGTAGTGTACTAGCTTTTGCTTCAATACCTTACGATGTGAAGCCTGTGGTTAGGGGTTTGTCCCATTGCAACCGGCCATTCGGCGGGGTTGTCGATCACGACCAGACTGCCACGAGGTATAAAGGGGCAAGAAAAAGAGACAATGTCCCATTGTTTGCGAGCAAGGTGGTACGGTACGTACCATTCCCCAGGAAATGCAAAAGTGGAGTGTAAAGAAGCTTCGCATGATAAAGGGAATACGGGGAGGGAGGGCCAGGGGCGGGAAAATATGGCGACAACGAAATGCAAGCCACAACGCCCAACATTTGTTCTTTCGTCCACAACAGCAGTGGCTCGGTAATTTGCAGACTTGCCAAGCGGCCGGCCGATATCAACTCGATGCAGCGACAAGCATAAAGAAAATAAAAAGCATTGAACACAATTGAGGTGATTCCCTGGTGCTAGGTATTAGGGAACCCAGGGATGATCTATCATGTCCCAAGGGGCGTGCTGAGGTTATGTCGATCACTGACCAGGGGTAAGGGACGCCTTGTCGACGCCCCTGGATCAGGTGAATTTGAATTTGTTGACCAGCAGAAAAAAGATCCCTGACAACGTCAAGTAGAAGGAAGGGTTGGCCTGGGGTGGCGCATCACAACAGAGTAAATGAACATGTGCAGCAGCCGTCGGTCAATATCACGACATGCCTGTAGTTAGAACCGGACCCGCCTCCCACCGCGCTTTCGCAAAATCGAGACTGAAGGGAACGTTACGGACAGCAGCTCAGGCATGTCTTGTTGTGATCCCTTTCATGAAGAAGGACGTTGTGCTGGGGCTCCTAGTTCGCTCGCCAGGGATGCAACGCTGACTGCGATTATCCCAAATGGAAACAGTTTGCACCATTGAAGGTTCGTCCGATGCATGAATGCATGAACTCGGAACTGTGTCAAACTTTCGACGACAGTGTTTCTCTTAGTGTTCATGTTGACTTAGTCAGCCGGTAGTAAGCCCACAGTCGTACTCATGAATGAGATTTTTTGTTTTTTTTGAATGCTCCATGCTCTGCATAGATCTTGCTTTGGTACTTTTGGTCTTGACTGTTTCTTATGCCTTCCTCTTGCCGGCGTCTTTCATATCTATCCCTCTCTTTCGGATTGGTTGCATCTTCGAACGGCGGGCGGACGGATTTAGACATGTATCAATAATGACGAGTCAAGATGGCGGCATTGGCTGGATAGGGGACTCCTCTAAGCTATATTGAAGCCACCCCCTTCCCACAGAAGATCGAGGCCCTACAGGGCGCTTTGCTTTTGGCGGGGCAATACATACCTACCATTGGAAAAATTGAAACTTCTCAAAAAAGAATAGCTCTATGGGCAGGAAAGAGCAGAGGAAGCAAGCAAATTGGGCAAGCCAAAGTTAGCAACTGAAACTTGGACAAACTGGCAAACCCATCGATTTCACTTTGTGCCATGACGAGGGAAAGGGTCAAAGACTATTTTGAACTTGGCGCAGAGCGATCTCCAACCGTAAGGATGAATCTACTTTCAAGTGATGCACGACAGACAGATCTGACAGATGCGCTAGGCATTGTCGATCACGATGCGGCAAACATCACTACCCGTTTAGACACCATCTCTCGTTCCTCGTTTCCTGGGGTTTCTTCCTTGGTAGTTGCGCGGCAAACGGCTACCAAGCATATCCAAGGCAGTGTTGGGGCCTTGTCAAGTTGGGGAACGGCAGATCACTTTCGTGTTGCTGCAGTGAGCTGCCGCAGTCTTGTCGTATGGACTAACCTAGACCAATGCAGGACTTGTTGTTGACCTGATCTGATGATGCATTGCATATCGCGATACAGAAGAGGGCAGAACGTGCCTGGATGCGACAGCCAACAAGCCAAGGTCATTCATTGTTCCTTGAACAGCGGCGTCATTGGGCTTGCAGTGTTCATCTTGTTGAATAGGAAGGGCCGAATCTGAGCCGTCTTCTTTAGCCGTGGCGCTTCATGGCGTCCTATGGTGGTGCCTCGAAGGGGTTTGACAAAGGCTGAGTGAAGACGGTGAAGACAGGCTTCCTGGCGCCGCAAACCGCGCCGTTGCACTGTACCGATTATCAGTGTTTGGCGGATGTACCCCGTAAATCGTCTGCACGTCGTCGGCTGTGGGACTCTAGACTAGTCAGCAGGCATTTGGCATTCTTGTCGAAGGCTCAACAGGAAAGCGGCTGTGATTCTGCCGTCGCATCAACAGCCGGTGATGGCACCCTCCGTTTCGAATGAGGCTTCAATTTGTGTGACGATACCTTTGACCGTCAAGTTGGATTGACCGCCAAACTGCATCAAGAAGCCGTCAACTGCTACTGTAGTCAATGATAATGGTGTCGCCGCAAAAGCTCTTTTCTTCTCTGCAGCGATCCTAGCACTAGTGGCTGCCAAGATGGACGCGAGGGAGATTTGGTGGATACTGGGCCCAACTACCGCAACCGTTACTCCAGATTCCGATTTTTGGGGTACTGTACAAGATGATTTGGGAAACAGTCCGCTGCTTGTTATCTATTTCAAAGGTAACTTGTTGGCGTTGCAGCCGTTCTGCTGTCCGCTGAAACCTGTATGGGGCTTTTCAATTTATTCGCACGTTTCCATTCAACGCGGCGAAAGCGAGCGGGTAGCGCACAACAGAGAGATGTCTGCCGCCGGCAGTTGTTGCCCTCCTGCGTTACGTACCGTATGCAATCGGGATTCAGGGGAGCTCGAAACACACACTTGACAGCTTGGCCGATCTCGGGGCTTAGGCGGCTGTGTGGACGTCGGTGTTGTAATTTTGACAGATGTCAACGTCAGCGAGCAGTGCTGATCTCCCACTGAAACCTGAAGTCTGGAGAAATTACCAAGATATCACGAGGGTCCCAGGCCAGATTAAGGATGTGAAGGATGCGTCAACAACGGGGTCTGTGAGATAAAAGCAGCACATTCGAGAGGTAGGTAGGTATCCTCACACATCGAACATCATCTTCCAACTCCACACGACAAGCACAAGCACTATGGGGTAGATGATCCTCCGAGTATAGCTTGGATGGTGGGTGGGTGAGCTTGTACTGTAGTGATGGTTCGCTTGGGTCGCAATTCGCTTCCTAGAAAACGGTGGTATTCTGGAGTTCTAGGATCTCTTGGGTCCTTGGGGATTGCCCAGATTGGGTATTCCGTAGCGCTGACGGGGGTATGGAGCCGTTGTGAATTCGCCGATGGACGCTGCCCCACGGCGCCGTTCCTCTCCATTTTATCCATCTAATTAAACGAGAGTGATCATTTGCTCTGTCCAGGGAGCGCCGGGGTCTTTTGGGGACGCCAGATGCCAAATCCCGACATGTACATAGTGTACTGCGGTTGCTGGTACGGGAGGTTCGGAAGGACAAAGTCATCATGGCTGGCGACGAGATTTGGGTCATTGTTAGATAGCTATGCATTGCATACGCGTCCAGATGCCGGCAGCGGAGTTGCTGCTTGTGCTGCTGTTTGGAGCATGACATCAACGGTCTGGCATCCATACGATGTTAAGATAAGCTGCTAACAGAGGCAACTTTTGATGTCGTTGAGAAGGAGGGATGTCGCCTGTCGCGAACACGGGCAGTCTGTCGTCTTTGACCCTTTGGCGCAAGGGTTTCCATCGAGCCTGCCCTCTTCGGGAACCCTTGTCTGATCTGTAACACACCCTTGTCGATCCTGGCTGTGCCTCTGCCAAAATTTGGTTTTGTCCAGTGTCCGTCCTCGGCAGAACCCATGACCGAATCCTTCGCTGGTATTTGGACCGAATCTCGTTATGGATCAAGGCAACTTCACCATCCTCGCGTTCCAAGGAGTAATTTCTCGCGAGTGTGTATTCCCAGCTGGCAACACCGTGTCGAGGGTCTTAGAGAGTTGGGTTCTTTGTCTTTGGCACCCATTCTTTTCGCAGTCCATCGTGTGCCCGCCATCCCTCTTCTTAAAATGGTTGGATGTGCTTTTGTCCCGCGGGGAGAGTTTCCCCAGTTAATCTTGTTCAATCAATTTCCCATCCTCACTCACTTGGTCAATGTAACATCGCCGAATGTCACTCTATCGTCCCCGATGCCATCCACTACTGATATGCGGGCGGTAAGTAATAGGTAGAGGTACCTGAGCTGAGGAATTTACTTACCCACTTCGTATAGTTCAGGCACCTACCATAGATCGTTGGTCCTTCGTCCAGGCCGTTCTCGCTATTTTTTTTTTTTTTTTTTTTTTGGCAAATTGGGGGCACACTAGCCGACGCTCTTGTGTCCTGCTGCCAGTCATCTTTTCTCAGGGGCGATCGTCGCTGTATCTTGTCCTCGGGAATCTTAAAAAACAACCTCCATGTGCGTAAATAGTGTGGTGTAGTTCCCAGGGAGTTGGATAGACCCTCTCCTAGTACAAATGTTCGCCATGAGCGTGTCGAATGGCTTCGTGCGATCAGCGTCGTTGCCACGTTTAAGAGATCCGTAGGAACGACGATCAAACGCGAGCCGTTGATAGTTCCATCCGCAAAGAGGGCTATTTACACCAATATCTGGGTTACCATGTGAAGCCGAGAAAAAGGGCTGCATCATTGCGAAAATAGACATTCAGGGTTTTCTCGATATGGTTCTGTACCTCGTGCGGATGTGGCTGCAGCTCCTTACTCAGCCTCGCTCTTGACATCGATGACCAGGAAGATGGGTTCCAACACTCTATTGTCTCCTGTTCTGGTTCCCCCCCTGGTTAGCAAAATACCCACCATGGACGTCTTCCCGGCTCCCCTATTTGCACGCACCAGCGGAACGCCATCAAACATCGGCGACCTGCCCAGCTGCCACTGACGAGCCCCCCTAGTAAACCATACTCGGTTGTCCTAATAGGGAAGGGCGAGCCCCCCGAGACGGTGTCTATACATACAGATCCTAACCTCTACAGACAAGGACAACCGTAGTCGCGCCCTTGCCTTTACTGAAGGGTAGTGTAATAGCTGCGAGAATTTTTTTTTTATTTTTTATTTTTTTTTTTTTGGGGGGGAGGGGGGGGGGATTGACTTCCCTTGATTAATGGACCGTAGTGAGCTTTAGGGTCCCAAAACGGGCTACACCAGCTTTCGAGAGGAGCATGGGGCATAACTGCCAGACATTCAACCCTCCCAGCATCATCTCGGTCTTCTCCGTGCCGTTTTGGAATTCTTCTTGCAGCCTTCGAGGCATACCTTTCGTCTTTTGGACTGGGACATAGGATAGCGGTAACGGAACGTTGAGGTCACTGACTCCTGGCCGCATCTCGTAGCAAGGAGACACCCGTTCGCCTTTACGACTTCCTCCGATCCTCTCCGCTTTTTTCCTCCAGCGCCCCAGGAGAAAACATCTCAAGATTGCGCCTGAACATGCACAATCAATGTTTTTGAACCAGTGAGCGCTGTCGTCCTGGTCAGCGAGCGATTTCCTTGACGCGAGGTGACCATCAAGGTGTACAAGATGTTATTTGGCTCATCTCGAAGGACCGAGTGGACGAATAGGAGAGCTGAATCTCTTTCTGCCCAAAGAGGCAATGAGCGACGATGATCCAGTTCTGCATGCGTCATGGTGGACGCGAACACTCAGCACACAGAGTTACAGTGAACATTGAACGCGGAATAGCGAGTTGCGGAGGTGGCTCCAATGTTACCAAGCAGAATGCTGCACACCAGTCAGTCAGCCATTTATGCCTCGAATCATTTGCATGAAAATAAGATGTCGTCGAAAGGGAAAAAAGAAAGGAGGGAAATATCAAGAGTGGCGCATCCGATATCCATCCGAGTCACACGTTGTATCAAACTTTTCCTGCCAAACTGCCAGTCATCAGAGAAGGCATCATCATCGTATTGCGCGGTGAGCTGGTTCAATAAGTTGATGGGTCTTGCCTGTCACATCGAGGCGACAACGACGACGATGACGACGATAAGGAGCTCGCGCCCGACAAAGAGACATAGCGTGCCAAGTTGCCAACAGTGAGATCTGATAAAATCTCACGTTCGAACCACACCACACCCGTTGTCCGTCAAGTGCGGTGTTGATGGCTGGGCGATGGAGGCCGATGGAGATGATAGGGTGATGTGCTCACCTGCGAAGTTGCCAACCTGGCGGGGGATCATGGGGACGTCGATGGAGGCGTCAGGGGTAGCCACCCCACCTAATGTGCCGCTATTGGCCCGCTTGCCGTGGGCAACGGCAGAGTGGACCAGGCTGCAGTACCCTTGCTTTGTCGACGCTTGAGGTACTAGATTTTGCTTCTTTTATTCCCGGTCCTCTGGCCGACCGCTTCGTGTTCGACGGTTTCCGCGGTGAGGTCGCGAGCCCACACACCTTGGGGAGTTTGGCCACGCCAGGATGTCGACAGAGTAGCGCCATTTGCCCTAGGTGGGCAGCGTCCAACTGCCGAAACCACCGCGAGCATGGAAGTGTTGCAGCTTTGCACTTTGTCTGTGGTCTTTGTCGTTCACAAGAACGGATGAACACGTTTAGCATCGTTTGATGAAGCGATGCAGGAACTCGCAAGCTCTCTAAGTGTGGACAGATTTTGCGGTGTAAAGTGCAACATCCCTGTCCTTGTTTCGCAAAGTTACCAGATCTCATGTATGAAATTCCGAACCAGGAGGCTCCCGTTCCGCAGTTGGGGGTCCCGCCGACCCACGGCCGACGACGACTGGACTCCGCTGATTCGGACGCGGCTTCGCAATCGTGGAGTATTTGAGGGTTCCCTGAAATGTTGGGCTTCCACTTGACGGGGTTGAGTCCGGTTATGACAAGTTCATATTATACTATCATACCGCCGGTATCGATGCGTTTCAGGACCGTTTCTTTCTGGCCGCCGCGGTAAGAATGCCGAATGTGGTGTACGACATCTCTGTAGGGCATTCGGCTGATATCAGTGGCATACCTCACAGAACGGAAAGAGCCATGACGCCAGCTTGGAATTCCGACCTGGTTATTGTCAAATTTCGTCACGACGAAGGACTGAAAGGCTGCGAAACAAACAAAGGGGACCGCCCTCAACATTAACAAAGCGAGGCTCGCCCGATTATTTCTCGGCTGATATCATGGCCTACCCTTCGCCTGCACTTGGCCCAGCCATTTTGCTAAGTTTGATTTCGGGAGAGCTGGCGCTGCAATCCTCCTCAGTGAAGAAACTGGCTGCTGTACGAGGGACCGCCCAAAAACCGTCTTCGTCTCGGGCCGTTTTGATTTGCGCCTCGCGCGTACTGCGAGGTCGAACGACAGACGTCACAGAGCGTCGAGTAATTACGAGCACCCCCACTCACGCCTTCCAATAGACGTCCGTTTCATTCTGTCGACAGCGACCTTGGATATTTACTAGCACCCTGTGTGGTAAAACACAACTGAACTCCGCTTCGTCCCCGCACGCCAATTGGAATGATCTCACACGGCGGAAAAGGTTTTCATTCAAGCATGCGATGGGGACTGTCAAGTTGCAGCTGGCATCGCTGTCCTACACGTCCCGTGACGTGACTGAGTGTTTGGAGATGAGCGCATCTAGCTACTTTCCCATCCCAAGCAGAACAGCCTTTGAGGTAAACTTGAGAAGCACTGCTCGTTAGCAAGTCTACTAACGTAACAATCCTGCTGGGCTGGTGTAGTGTTCATGTACCGACACTGCTCACTTTTTATTTTATTTTGTCGACTGACAAGAAACTAGTCAGTCTCGACGTTAGAGTACCCTCACTGTGCCGCCGCGACAAATGAGAACAAGCGGCAGAAGGGGAGGGGGGCTAGCGCCATTTTTCTCTGCAGTATCGCGAATGGGGTTAGTCCATACGTTGGTGGTGGGCTGCAGTGGCCCCTGCCGAATCCGCTTTTCTTGTCGATGAGGCGGGTGTCCTTGCTAATGGCATTCAGATAGAATTGCCTTCCCACCTGCCAGCCGACACATTGGCGGTACGTACCTGCCTCTGAGGGACAGGGGCAATGCCCCCCCAACTCCTGTGCCCTGCACCCTGTTCCACAACTGCCACCAATGACGCATGCACAAAGAACATGGCGTTCATGACAACTCCGCTGGAAGGTGACACCCTCCGGAATTGCCCCCGGCGTTCAGAATCACACACAGCATCTTGATTACTGCAGGGCAAAAAAAAACCATCACAAATTCACAGGGAGACATGTTGGCATTCGAAAGGTGCGGGTAGAAGAGACAGTCCCGGCAAGCAACTGTCAAAGCCCCGAAGGATTGGAAAGCTATGATGGGATGCTGAAACCACAGACATGGGATTGGGTGTTGGAGTCGTGCAGCTGGGACGAATCTTGCGTCAAATGCAATCCCGTCCGTCATCCGGTCGTCGAGCTTGTCAAGCTGCGAGTGGAAATGGCTGCTCCCGCCTCGTACATCCCGGCTTCGTTCCAGCGTCGAGCGTCCATTGTCTATCGTCCAGCCTGCTTCCAAATTTCACAGTCGTCACAGCGCTGAGAGCTGATAGCCGGGGCATGCGTGTCCCCATTCCGACTCCCAATCAACACGCCCATCTTACCACAGCATAACAACGCAAGACAGTTCCTGGGAATCCTAACCATTATCGATTGTGGAGGGTAACGAGGAGCCCCCGTCCGGAGGGCCAGCGACAACCCCCATTCACACTGCGACAGTGTGTCCATGTCGAGTCAGCCACACAGTGTCAGATGAGGGCTGTCGTCCCAGACCCTGCAGAAAAGGAAAACAACGAACCTCCACATGCTCATACATAGTGTAGCAGCACACACACATGCCTTAGCACCGACCCAACCTTGAGTTGGAGGCCGTTGTGCTGCTACCGAGTTGCATACTGTACTCTCCAACTTGACCAAGTCCCAATTCGTCTCCAAAACAACAGAAGCAATGAATCAATTGATGCAAGCACACAACTCCCCCGACCACATCCGGCAATGACATTGACAGCAAGTGCGGGGGCTGCCAGAAGCAGCACACCACCCGGCCTTCAGCCTTTTGCTCCCGTCACTTGGCATCCTGATCATCAACCATTGACCGACCCTGAAGAGCCTTCAGAAGAGAGTTGAAACGGCTCCTTGTGTGAATCAATTCGGAAAAGGTAGAACGCAATTTTGCGACTGCTATTTGCATCTCTTGAATATTTCGCATCCCTGCCCTGTCGGTGGGAGCAAGCCTGCCCCCATTCACCTAAAGCCACCCCCCCGGGCTGTCCTCCCCACTCCCATCTTGCCCCCGGACCCCTGCCGCTGTGTAGTGCACAAGGACAATGTACTCAGGTACCAGCCATACCGAGCCATCCTTCCTTCCAACCCATCCAAGCCATCCCCCAACCTTGAACTGGAGCAGGCGTGTGGGCAGGGGGAGTGGGCTTGCGCTTGTCATGTCTGCTGGCTAGGTGGTTTGGGCTTTCCCATTCAACCATTGACTTCATAACGGCATCCCTTTGGACGGGCGGACGAAGCTCGCTTCTGTTAAAGCTTGGCCAACCCTCCGCATTGTCCAGCAGACTGGCCTCCTCCGTTTTCCACAGTATAGAGACATCTCATCAAACCAACTAAATCAAAGCCTGACGGAGCAAGAGCTTAGCGCAAGTACACGCAGTCAACCTACAACACTCGAAACACTTGGACCACTCACACCCGACACCACTGCAACTAGTATCGCGCAATCATCTGTCCTGAAAAAAAAAAAAAGGTTGACCGTCGATTTCCCGGACACATCAGGACACAAAGCCAGCACCGTAAACACCGGTTCCTGTCGAGCAGCAACAGATCTCTCCCCCCTTCAGCATTCATACAAGAAAGACCCTTACAACATCCATACAAGCATTCACAAGGAGCCGATCTTCTCCTCTTCCTCTCTTCCTCTCTTCGGCCCTCCCGCCTGTCCCAACTGAGCTGAGAGTAGCCTGCTCCTCTGGCCAAACAAGCAGACCAACGTCAGCCCTGAACCCCCCCTGTCTTCTGTCTTTTCTCTTCTACACAGTAGCGAGTAGAAAAGCACAGCGGACGACAAGACCGCCCTGGCTCGCCTGCATCATTGGGTGAACCCTGTCTCCTCAACGTCCCTGCTAGGGCCCCTTGGACCGGGAGATTCCACCGTCGATCAATCTCGCCCCGAGGTCGTCACAGAATATACCTAGCTCGAAGCCGACTCCACTTGTCCCGCTGACCAAGGAGACAATACCGTTCAGTCGATTTTGGGTTCGCTGCTCTGAAGTGGACGCATACCCGATTGGCCCTAGCCTGCAGTTTGGTACTCCCCATTGTTCCCAGGGCTGCTCGCATGCCATCTGAGCTTCTCAGACCCCCAAGAACACTTAAGGTCGCTGATCCCTCCTTGTCAACTCGTGGTTTGATCTTCTCTTGACATTCGACCCGACTAAAAGGATCCCGCGTTTGATCAGCAACTACTACATACATACATACATACTTACATACTTACTTACATACCTACCTACCACTGTCGACAAACATCTTCAACTCCTCTCTTCCCCAAGTTCACCAGTTCACCTCACAAACAAAACTGGGAAGGACACCGCACTCGTTGCACACACAAAACCCCAATGATGATGACCATAGACGCCAACCAGCACCGTTTTGCACCGCTAAACTACGACCACATGTCTTATCAATCGAGCCAGCCACACTTCACCAACCCTTGGGGTTCGTCCTCGGGTCCTGGAGGGCCGCCTCCTCCTCCTCCTCAGCAGCCCGCTCCTCAGAACATGTACATCAACAACCGTGACAGCGCCGGCCTGCCGCATCTTAACCTCGCTGCACTCCCCAAGCGTCAGCACGACGTCAGGAACGGAAGTGTATGGCCTCATCAACCTGCTGCTCCCGGCCCCGTCACAACTGCGCCAGCAGGTAGCGCTCCCATGGCGGATGTCTATAGGCAGCAGGACTTACTCTCTATGCCACAAGATCATCTCCTAGGTCTCAACCGCATGCCTCACCCAACCACCTCGACAGCATATGATACCTCCGCCTACACCACCTCTGCTTCCCCTGTTAGCACCAACTATCCTCCTTCGACATCACAGTATGAGCTCGGTTACCCACCCGCCACCATGAGGGGGGCCTTTGGCATGGCTCCTGATGACACTGCGAGGAGGTATTCACAGCAGTAAGTATTCTCCGGGTTTGTCCTTTACATCTTACCAATACTAACCCACCTGCCCAGGGGAATTCAACCTGATGACCGGAGAAGCTTTCAAGATGCGCTTGAAGCTAGCCAAGGCATGCTTACCATGAGCCAAGAGACACCAAGGAATATCTACGATGTGCGAAACCGTGCTAGGGGTTCTACAGACTCGTACGGCTTCCCTCAGACGCACTCCACGGGCTCTAGCGTTTCTTCTGCGAGCTTTGGCGGGTACTATGGCGGTTCAGTCGATGGGTCGATCAGCGATTATTCGACCGCAGGCTCTGACATTGAGTCGCTCTCTGGCCGGTCACTTCCTCGCCCTCAAGGCTTGATGTCGAGCCAGCCCCCGGCACCACAGTCTATGATGGGCTCCTTCAGCTCCAAGGTCTCAACAAGTACCTCGAAGAAGCACAAGTGCAAGGTTTGCGACAAGCGCTTCACACGGCCTAGCTCACTCCAGACCCACATGTATAGCCATACTGGTGAAAAGCGTAAGGACTCCCTCGTAACGTAATTTGAGATTTTGCGCCTGCTAACAATTTTCATAGCCTTCCACTGCGAAGTTGAGGGATGCGGTCGCCAATTCTCAGTTGTGTCTAACCTCAGGAGACACAAGAAGGTCCACAAGCCCCAGAGCGAGACGCCATCTGAGACTGGTTCCGAAGCGGGCCAACAGTCGGAATAAACTAACCAGTGCATCTTGCGGAAGTCTTCTTTTTTAACATTATGCCCCTCGATAGACTACACACTTTAATTGTCAACATTCACTACATGTAACACTATCGGCACTGGAACCCCCCAGCATATCACACCACGGTCTATATCGATCCCGGAAAAAAATGGATTCGAAATCGACATAAACAAATGCGACTCGCTACCGCCTACCAAGTACACGAATGGGGTCGGCGGTACCCGCTCTGCATCTCATAGACTTACGTTTTGGCAAGGAGGGACAGCAGGCGATCCCTCCATCATTCCCTGCTGTCGGTCATTGGCAGCAGAAGCGCTCGGCGTTGGAGTTCAGGTAGACGAGACTTGTCGATCACAACGAGCAAGCTGTCCCGCATGGGTCGCCAACCGCGGGGAGCTGGCCAACATCTTTTAATCTTTCATTTTCCTTTTGGGTTCATTGATTGATTACGTGGGGAAGGAACGGGGAAGATACCAAGGGAGTCATCATCCAAGGGAGATTGCGAAAGGAAGGGCGCCTTTGCACAGGGACCACAAATCTCATGAACCGGCGTCTCGGTGGGCTTGCTTTTCAGATCATTGTTTTGTTGCATCCGGGAATGTTTTTTCTCTACTGTCGTTTAAGAGATACACTCACACAGGTTTGGTTGGAATTGGTTATAGGTTTCGGTTGGTCAATCAGGGGTTTTTCCATTATCATCATACTATCATCATTTGATCAGGGCAAGGAGAAGAATACCTAGCTTTTGACATATTTGATGGGCCCATCGGAAAGAGGGAAGGAAGGGGGAAACAGGCTCGGCAGATACCACTATATGGCGACGACTCCAAAAGGATGTTACAAAGAGCGGAGGAACATCTATGTATCATCTGAGCTTAAGCACATTGCGAAACCTAATTATGTACTACTATAACTATCAAACTTGTCACTATCAAGCACTGCAATGTTCCAGAAATTTACTCAATTGCGAAACTGAATGCGAGCAGAGTTCATCACGAGTTATCCGCGTCTGTCTTTTCGTCCAAGATCTCTACCTCCAGTGATGACACACACAAAACTCATCGTCCAATCAACAACATACCTCCACCTAATTCGAATTTCTTTTAGCAGCTAACCAGCATAGCCGTCCGTTTCAGATATCGAATTGTCCATTTGCCTTTGCTTCTCCCCATACTTTTTCTTCAACCATGCTGTAACCCGTCAGTCCTACCCTGACTTGACTAACTCGCTTGAGTCGCCTGACTAAACCGAGCAAGGTATAGGAAAGAAATTCGGACGTCACATCGCAGTGGTTGCGCAAGTTAAGCTGGTCCTTAGACTAGCCCAGGTTTTGTTTTTCTTGCTACGGTTCCTTATCCCTACTTTCTTCCCACGAACATCTCAATTACAGTTCTACCATTTCCTTCATAAAGTATACAAAGTTATGAAGGTTGAACAAGGTTCGGGAAGGCCGTGAAAATCTTTTCCTTGATAAAGCCTAGCGTGGCATTCACATCAAGGCTTGTACTAACTACATTGACCGGCATAGGGGTCCACAACAATTTCAGGAGAAGGGCATCGGGATACCTAGACAGGGAGGAGGAAGAGTGAAGAGGATGAAGAAGGAGAAGGAGGCTGAGTCGGGCACGTCTGCTTGATCTGGTACCAAAGCCAGGGAGCCAACGAGGCCGATGTGTGAAGAGCTCCGCGTATACAGGCATCCCTAGATGCGAGACAGGGGACGCAAGGGAAGAGGGGAGGAGGGAGAGGCAGACGCGGAAGATCCGGGCACTGAGAGGGCGGGTTGCATTGCGTGCTTTCCTCCCATTCCCCGTCCTCGGTGGAGGACGAGTGTCAAGCCCCCCATGGCGACAGACGGCAGGAAGTAGGGCGCACTCTAGAAGAGATCACGGTGCGAGAGGAAATCGGACTTGACGCCGAATCGACGCATGTCCCAAGTGCTGACAGGCCCGAATAGGAACCGCGATCACGTTTCACACACAAGCAGCAACTCAATCAACCCATATCCCGCCCATAACTGGGATAAGAGAGGGCGTCTATGTATATGCTGTGCTCAAAAGGGAAAGCGGAGGGAACGAAGGAGGTGTGAGAGAAGGTGTATGATCGTCGCCACATGTCTCTCATTGCCTGATTGTCCACGAAGCAGCACGCTTCCAATTGTCTGGCCTCTATGCCCATCGATCTCCGGGGTTTGTGCTTGAGTATGAGATGGACCCCTTTCCAACGAGACAATCATCTGGTATCAGCTAAAAATGCCCAAGGAGCGGGAGAGGCGAAAAAGGGGGGCGTCCCATGGTAATGGTGGATACAGGTGAAAGTGTATTGTGCACCAAGGCATATTACAAATGAAAGACGGACGTGGATGGGTGGGTGCGTTGATGGATGGTGCACGACCAAAACTTGCTTCTATTGTGATGAGATATGCATATCCATCTCTCAACAGCACGGACGAACCCCGTCAGTGCTTCGTATAGACACCTGTTCAAGGCAATACCTTACTGAACAACGAGCCGGAAAGAAAGCAACGACCGACCAGGACTTGCGGGATGGCATGACAGAGGAATGAGATTGAACCCGGAGATGTAGATAAGATGAGATGAGATGAGATGAAATGAGATGGGTGATGGGTGGAGGGTCCCTGGCGGACTGTCTCAAAGCACGGCTGGCACCACCGACACCGCCGTCCCATGGCCGTGACCGCTTGGTCCGCGGCGTACCGCACCGCTCCGTGGGAGCACCGCACAGGACACATCCAAGGACAACAACAACACCCGACGCTCTTGCATGACTTTTTGCTGGCGCGTCCTTACTCGTGCAGGCGAGGAGAGAAGCTCTGATGATGGACCAGGGTGGAGGTTTATGGGCAAGCCCCAGTCCTAAGGACCTCGACGGCCTCGTTTCAGATTACGCAAATCAGTCCCTTTAATGGAGAAAAGATAGATGTGACGGACCATGTAGGGCGGGGATTCCTTGTCGATGGACGGCGGTGGATGGAGAAGAAAAGCTTGACTGGACGGGGTGTATGGGGAGACGTCTGATCATTGCCCAGACAGGCAAGTGCTTATAAGAAGAGCCGTACCGAGGCGGTGCGTTGACGGCCGGCGGAAAGCTCGACTGGACGGTCGAGTGTGGAAGCGGTGGTGATCGGCGGGCATCAGATTCGTGAGTGGGGATAGACTGAGCCAAACTGGGGAAATGGAACTGAGGTCCAAGGAACGGGCGAGGTTCGGTAATGGGTTCATCTGGCTTCTTTCTTTCGAATTAGCACGTGCCGTGTAACGTAAGGGGAAGGGAATGGATGGGGTTCAAGGGATGATCGTCTCTTTGGTTTATGGACCCTCTCAACCTCTCTTGTCAGCAGCCGTGATGCCTTCACCAAGGCACCAGACAAATGTCTTGTCACCTGGTGGAGAGGCATTACGTCGTCAAGGTCACGGCGTAAAGTGTAGTGACGGCATGCGGGGCGTCTCCAAGTTGGCATAGCACAGACTGGTACATAGCTGGCAGGCTGATGGAGAAAACTGAGTGAGCTGGTTTTCGGTCCCTGATTCCTAGCATCCGGACAGGGCCTGGGTTGTTGGTAAGCAAGGTAAGTTGGGTGCAGGACGAAATCCTATTCGACATTGGAGGCCTGGGTTGCATGTCTTCCGTCCGCTCTCCTTGCTTTCCTTGGTTTAGGCGAGGCTGGGATGCGAGGGGAGGGGCCAGGAGAGGGGCGAAGGGCCAAGAAGGGCCGGGAAGCTGTAACCACGCACGCTTTCCACGTTTGACGGCTTTGAGGTCCGGCTCACTGCCGCCCGCTGGACAAGGCGGGTCAAGACGGGGGAAGGAGCACGCATTGCCGTGGTTTTGGGAAGGAACCCGCTACCTATGTCGTCAACATCATGTATTAGCTGGGACAGGAGACGGACGGAACCAAGCATGGTGAGCTTCTTGAGGAAGTTGTGGCTCGTGAAACAATGGCCCGCAACTCGTATAGGAGACGGTATTAGCAGGCAAGTCGCAACCACAAACCCGCAAACTGGAGATAGTACTGTAACAATACGTAATTGGGTAACTGACAACCGACGCTGGTTGGCCGGGATGGCGCCACATGGCTGGCTACTTACTCGTACCGTAACAGTTGAACTGGTTGACACTAAAATCATTGATATTATCAGCACCCATCCCCGTGGTCAACAATACCGACGGCGAATCTTCTCATGGGGTCGTTAGACCCGCTTATGACGTCGGTTGTCAGCAACCGAGTCTGGCTGCCGCGGCAGTTGCGGCGGCGGCGGCGGCGGCACAGAATGCTTAACGTGGCCAGTAAAGTACCCAAGGCACGATATTAACCGGCCGAAGGGTTCCTTTGATTCCTTTCAAAAAAGGGTGTGGTGTTAAGGGTGTGGTGTTTTGGATGCCTTGCCCAGTGCGCATGGCAAAAACGAGGCTAGCCAATCATGGCACCGGCGCATGCTCACGGATCTTCAGGGTCCTTTCTGAGGCTTGTGCTGCTGCCAGACAATCGCGCGGGGAAGCAGCACTCTCCTACTGACACCAATACACTCAGGGCCAGGATGACCAAAGGCAGCTTTGGCTTTGACACTGTATCAATCGCGATTCGTGAAACCGACAGTGTCCCAGAGACCGCCCTGTTGAGGTTTGATATGGGGTCCAAGTTTGATCAAGGCCAAATGTGAAGTTGTGAGAGGTCAAGGTGCGCTCAGCAGGGTACGGCGCAAATGCATTGTCGCGCTGCAGAGGACCGATGACGGCGGCCAATCGAGTACAAGCGTGTCCCGCACGCATCCAAGATTTCATCACAGTCGAAGGGTGGTTGAGGTTGCCGTGGTGGCAGTGTTCGCCGACCTCCACCATATCCCACCGGCCGGATCTGGTTCCTGACCAGCCAATGTCAGCCAAAACGGACCAAAGGGAACTTGAAGATGAGAGCCGTTGGGAGGAGACATGTACCAGGGCCCCTGTCTGTGACCTGTCAGGATGCCCAGGGGCGGAATCAGAACCGCGCTTCACAGCGTGGTTGAAAAAGGGCGGGCCAGGATGAGAGTGGCAGAGGTGGGTTGAGGTGACTAAGGTGTGGGCAATAACTACTGTGTACTGCGTAGTATTATTTCGTGATGTAATGTTGTTAGGTTCGGTTTAGCCCCCAGTATCTCTCGGATGGTACCCATGCTGGCTAGATTGGTGTCGTTACAGTGACTGCTTGGAAAGGCTACAGTGAGGTTGACGACGATTACAAAATGGAACGGATGTGGTTTTTTTCTTCGAGGGCACGTCTTCCCAGCCGAATCCCATGCCTCATGACGTCATGTGGCTTTTTGGTGGTTACTCCGCAACCCCTGTGCTGCACCGTGACCGGACAAGCACAGTCCAAACTATTGTTCTTGCCGCACCGTCTTGACCCCACTGCAAACCTCACAGTACAGTACTACTGCCCGAGTACTAGTCGAATCTGAACTGAATGAGGCCCGGCCGCTGCGAAATTAATAGGTTGTCAGATAATGGAAAACTACGAGCCCAAGTAACGGAAGTTTTGTAGGGTAGTCCCGATGTTGTTGTAACAATGGTTCAGCGGATGATTTCAATGACACACCCAAGCTACATCTATTTACTATCGCAAAGTGGAAGGGTGCCAAGGAATAGTGAAGAAAAACATAGTCGTACAGTATATGTTTTTGCTACTTGCATGCTTGTTGCTGCATGCGTAATGAAGAAAGGGAATGCAATGAAAACGGTACAGTCTTTACCCCTGCAGTTGCAACTCCCCCCTTCCCCCCTTTTTCGTTTTTTTGTGCTCTCAAGTCTCTACACTTGACGCCAAGTCCCTTTTTTGACAAACACTCTACTTATTGCAAGAAAAGTCGCTTCTGAAATGAAGTTGCATCAAGAGAGGTCAAGATTGTACATAGTGTACACCGTGGTTAGCAGCACCCCGTGTGCATTAGCTCGTCCGACACAACGCACACAGTCGCTGAAAGATCTCACTTTACAGACTGTTCTTAATCTTTCACTTTTGGCTTTTGACACGTCTCCAACCTCTGCTTTGCCCAGTACGCGCCCAAGTGGATGAGTTGAGAGTCAATCAAACAACGACGTCCCTTTACTTGGCAAATTAAACGTCGACAGCTTCAAGATCGATCCAGATAAGGTTGCCTCTCACCGTTACTTTGCACTGCCGAGAGCAAGCAAACATGAAACACCAGATGATCTCATCTGGCGGGGGATTTTCGACTGAGATTGCGACTGCAACGGCGCGATCCTGGGCTTCCATTAATATCGCTGGGCGTTGGGGTTGAGGTGAACAGATACAGCCATTACACGTGTACAGCTGCCATACCAACTCCATCCGCACGCACCACTGCACCCTCAAAAAGAAGAGAAAAAAAAAAACAAAGAAAAAAACACCAGTACACCCTCAATTCTACGACACACACGACCAATTGCAGAGGTACAATCAATCTGATATGTCTAAATTAAATTGACGCGGTCAATTCCAATCAATAACAGTGCGTCAATCCCACCTAATCCTGCCGTCTGACCAACCCGTCAGCTGGACGAGTATTTGGACCGCATTTCCAAAATGCCATGTTGCGTCAGGCCAAATTGCCATCACTTTTAGTGTTACTTTCACCAACTGTTTATTCCCCACCGCAAGCCTGCAACTACAACTATCATTCACTGAATGAGAGGGAAAGCGCGGCGCCAGAACTTGACCAGCACCACGACAGCAACGAGCCCACACCCTCTGTCTCTGCACACGTCCACCTTATCAACACGAAACACTCGTTTCTTGATGCATTGATTGCATCACATCTATCTCCGTATCATGCTCCGCTTCACTCCGTAACATGTTACGGATCTCACAAGTTTTGGGTCGTCTCGGCCTCTCTCCTGTTTTCGGTTTCCCTTTCTAGGTGTCCTTTCTTTGGACCAGGGGATGTCAGATGGTAAAGTCACAAGTATGATGATGGGAAAACCAGGGGTCTACGAGCGGTCAGCCAGTAGCAATCCTCCTTTTTCAAGCGACACCTTAATTGACTTGACGGGCTCACTTGGGCGACTGTGAGTAGACTGGACGAACCGCATACTTGATGCTCGGCATCAAGGCCGCGAAGCTAAGGTCACGATAATCATCCTCAAAGAGTTACCACTTTGAGCTTCGATAACGAGAGCTCCAAGAATTCTGATGCGCTGACTCTATACTTATATGCGGGGGCCTCTCACTGGCACCCCCCTCCCTACGGAACTAACTCTGATAAGTAACCCTCACCGCTTGCCCCAAATACCGACCTTGGGGATCTGGGAGCGACCTGGACCTCGCTTCAACACAGTCGCCGCGGGTGATTACACGGTCGCCCTGGTCGGCTAATTAACATGAAGACAAGTCGGTGTCACCTGATTTGTCATTACTGCGGTATGGTTCAGGCTTCGAGCGCTTCCCTGGTGACACTGTGATTTCTTCTCCTCCTTCCTACATCCCAGTCCATTGATGTCGGGCAGCTGGAGGAATTATTGCCCCTGGAGACAGATCCTGGCAGGTTCGATCTGGAGAGCGAGATGTCGCTTGGTGACGACCTGAGCGTCAGGTCCATCTGATCTAGTTGAAAATGAGTAACAAGCCGTGGCTTCTGCTTCTGAACAGTTAGAAACATTTCTTGGACCCCTATTCCCGGGCCACGGGTACTATTTATTGTTACTCTGTAGTGTACGCCCCCAATTTTGAATACTGTACCTGAATTCTGAACATTGACTGTAGCTCAAGGAGCACATTGTGTCGTAGAACCAACTACATGTGTAGAGGTAAGTACTAGGAGAACAACTACGTACCTACTAGGTATGTAGAGTAGGCACACTATAGAATGACTACACAGTTAGCATAGGCATAATCTGTCTAGATACTGGACTTGACGACTAACTAGGTACTTCTAACTCTGTGTATCCTCTCAAACAGCTTACTAAATGCAACACGTTGATCTGAAAATAACGCAATGTAATTTGCTTCGTAATTGGTTCCCATAGCCAAGTACCTAGATCTAGAATCCGTCAAATCTCTGGACCTTTTACACCAGACTTGCGCCCTATAGTCTCACGGAAACCGCATCTTGTAATATCAGCCCCAAGCAGTGGCTTGTCGGGTTGGAAAAGACATGAATGAAATTACTATTACCATACACAAGTAACAGTTCGGCTCACACCCACGGCCTTCGATGTGGCAAGGAGAGACATCGCATGTCTATAGATTACAAGCTCATGAAACTGTATGATTACCACCCGGCTATGTAGTGCTCACCTCCTATTTAAATGAAGTATCCATAATCGAAGCAGTCGTAGTCATGACTAACATCGGTTACTTTACTCAAAAATGTAAAAACAACGATCAAATGGTCGGTGTCAATTACTAAATGCCACTTATATCCGGGACATAAGGCAGAAGAAACACGACCAAACTCATACAGCTGGGTGCTCCACTACAGCTCATTAGAAATATAACTTCTATAATAGAAGTGAAGACTATCCCGGGGTTTCATCGGCAACTATGTATGATATATTGGCTACCTCTATAAATTGCAAATTCGAGGAAAAAATATAACTCAAAAACCAGCTGGATCATGACAGTGTGAGTACCTCTATGTAGGCGTTTTATAAGAGATCTATATTTCCTTTAAGAAACAACCGGTATACACTACAACCGAGCCCGTCAAACCTTTAAAAGATCGTAGGACGCTATTCGCTTGTCAACGTATACCGGAAGTGCACAGTACATATACCTCTAGGCAATATCATCCTGTGGCGTCCCTCGACCAAGATAACAGATCAGTACAGGAAATAGGTACTCAAATAAAGAAGACACGGATTACACCTTTTATAGAGTAGAGGTCGGAAGCTACCTCATACGAGAAGGAGCCGGAGGATAGATACCTCTAGGTATACTAACAGGAAGGATAAAGACCAAGCGGGAAAGAGTAAGCAGCAGAAGCCTCGGTCGTCCCTACCTCCCGGTCCCTAGACAAGTACAGGCAGGATGTAAACGAATTCTCAGAGTGATCTGGAACGGAAGAAAGTGTCAACAATGAAAAATAGAAGATTCGTATGGATTAGCAAACTGAATCTATATCAGTTGTCTATCGCCTACTCAAGTTGACGAACACTAAATATAAGAGGTTTACCAAATGAACTTGAAGGAGAGTGAACTGACATAATACAGGACTAGTATAAGTAATGGAGGTTAGTAAAAGAGTGGTGCATTTGTCAAAATGACAAGAGAGGTGAAGCAGAGGTGAAGCAGAGATGAGACGAGAAGGAAAAAAATTGTCACTGTGTCAACGATCTGTTACAATCTCTAGCCAAATAGTTTCATGAGGGAATTGAAAATTGTTACCGTTGGAGTCCAAGTAAAACATCGATGAACTCCGTTATTATGTATTCATCCATATTTGCACTCATCTGCTCGTCTGACCTAGCTTTACAGATGCATATGTAACAACCTAGTTACTTTCTGACCTAAGAGCAACCATCCACCATTCTCTTACAACATGGAATGCCATCATCTTGGACGTCCTAACCAATATGACAAACGATGACATTGGCACAGACCGCATTTTACAGTGTATATCGCACATAAAACCATTGTGACATCACTTGATCCTTCTTTTGTTGTGCGCGTGTGTTTATGTGTGTAAAGCCTTCAATGGCGGATAACGCGCCCAAACCCCAAGACGCTTCGATAAAAAGTTGCGTTGTTCCCCATCGTCGTCAAAACGAAGCTGAACCATATAAACAAGAAACCTGTTTGCTCCTGCTAGACTAACCTGCTTCCAATCGCCTAAAGCACAATCGCCAACTCCGTCCTGTCGATGCCCTCCTCGATGAGGTTGGGATAATACGGCACCATAGCGTCCGCGCACTGGACATATGCATCGTTGTACAGACGCCAATATGGTGTCCGTACCTTTCTCGCCGGGTGGAAAAGACCGGCCCAGACGTAGTTGAGGACCAGTCCCGGACCAACGGCCATCCTGATGGCCTCGATAGCCTCGACGATACGGTCGATAACGTGGGGGCTGGTCTCGAAAAGGTTGGGATACAGCAAGTTGAGCAAGTGAACCATGGCATCCTCGCAACCGAGACCAACAACGCCAAGGGCAATGTGCTTGACAACACTAGCGGCTGTTTGTCTATGCACCTGGTCACGGTCAATGAGGGCGTCCTCCAGGAGTGGCGTGACGGCGTAGACATAGTCCTTGGCCATCTCGCCGATGTACTCGAAAAGGAAGGAGAGCGACTTGAGCACGCCGTTCTGAACGTTGAGCTCGGGGACGCGATACTCGTTCATGAGCGCAGGCAACACGGTGAAGGGCGCGCATGTCTCGGCAACGATACCGATGGCGACGGCCGTGTTGACACGGGACTGACGCTCCTGAACGCGGAGGTTATTCAGAAGGGTTGCAAGGACATCCTGAGGACCAATGGCCTTGGCAATGAAACCGAAAGTGTTGTTGGCCGCACGTCTGATGCCCTTCTTGTGAGCCTTGAGCATGTCGAGAAGCTCGAAGCAGATTCGCATCCATTCGCGGGCGTTGACACTCTCTGGACCGCGATCGGCAATACGACCTACGAGATCAATCGTGTTCTCTTGTACCTTCTCGTGTCGGTTACGAAGAATAGGGGTCAGGCGAGGCAGAAGATCCTTGATAGGGGGCTGCATCTGGCTGATACCCACGACAGTGACAATGGAGCGGAGAGCACCAAGAATAGAGCCAAGGACCTCGGGATACTCCTCGCCAAGATACTCGTAAAGAACAATACCAAGCTTACCCATGAGGGCATCCTCACCGCATTGCTTCATGACCATGGCAATGCGGGAGATCAAATCGGCTGCTTGCTGTCGTACAGTAGCTGACTTGTTGTTCAGACGCCAAAGAATGGTGCTGACAATCTGAGGAAGGTAAGGCTTGCATCGGGTGCCTAATGCGTTAACCACCGAACCGAAGCCGTTGAGCATAACGATATCCTCCACGCTCTGTTCCTGGAATGCATGAAGAATGCCATCGATGAGGCGTTCTTCCAGACGCTCGCCAATATCGGCAGCACCGAGAGAGGCCACAATCTTTTCGACCGTCTCCACCGTCATCTTGCGGTAGGCTTCGCTCTCGTCCTTCAGATTGGCTACGATCCTTTCCAGAATCTCGCTGACACCAACCTTTTGGCCAATGTCGACAGTGGTCTCAACGACCTGTCGGTAGTTGCGCTTATCCAGAGCCATACGCCGTACCCAGAAGCTCTTGAAGAACTCGTCCAGCACATGCTCCTTTAGGTACCCAGCCGTTACTCCATCGGTGGCGGCGCACTGTGAAATCACCTTTAGCACAACCTTCTTCATCTCTTCATCGGGAGAGGCAAATTCTCGTAGCAGAATCTCCATAATCTGACTGGTGTAATAGTTGGCATAGTCTTCATCCATAAGCGGGATAATATAACCGACAGCCTTGAGGAAACCCGCCAGACCCTTGCCTCGCTGCTTTCGGGCACCGGTCCAAAGGGGGTTGAGAATATCATCGAAGCTCTCGATGCCGTAGGGGTTAGATGCCTCGGCGAGAGCTGCGATGGCCAAACTGGTCACTGTGCGGACTTTGGTCTGTTCATCGTTCAGGTTGGGTCCGATACAGTCAACCAGCTGCTTGAGATGGGGCAAGACTGCGCAGCCCATCAAGATGGGAATCTGCTGGACGATCTTGACACCCGTGTGACGAGCCTGCCACGACTTTTTGCTTCGGCACACAGCTCGCAAGAAGGGGAGCAGAGCTGGGATACCCAGAGCCGAGGCAACCACGGCAAAGGCTCTGGCAGTAGTGTTTCTGACATATTCATCGACGTGATCAATATCTGGACGCATGACACTGATCATTGTGGCAAGACCAGCAGCCTTGCTGAGGTTCGAAATGATTTCCCGACCCTCAACACGGGCATAGTAGTCCTGATCGATAAGAAGGGGTTCGATAACGACGAGAATCTTGTGAACGTATGGTCGAACCATGTCATCGAGCTTGTACAAGATACGATCAATAACCTTGACGAGAAGATGGCGTTCCTGGTCCTCCAATGTTTTCTCCATGAGCAGAGGAAGAATTTGATTGAAGAGGGGGCCGGCACCAAAGTTGCGAGCATTATCTGTCAATTGTCTGAGCGCAGTCTTTCTCATAGGAGGAGTACCGTTCTTGACCTTCAGCAAGAGCCTCATAATCTTTCTCTCCTTGAGCTCTTCGACACTCAAACTTTCCTCATCTGCTCCGTCGGTGAGCTTGCCGAAGTATGCCATATCTTCGGGCTTGAAGAATTGCAGGTCTCCCACACCGGGAATCTCCTTTGGCACCTGCTGGCCTGTCATCCGTCCGCTGTCGGGGTCCTGCATCATGAAACCCGTTGTTGGGGCCGGAGCCTGCATCAGCTTGTGTGCCGGTGCTCGCACGGGGGCATACCCTGGTGGCGGCTCAAGAATCTTGTAACCTTGTTCGGGGCCTGGAAGCATGGCGTCCAGCTCTTCGTCGCTGAGCGGTGCGTAGCGACCGGCCGCATCAGCGCCGAAAGCTGGGGGCACGACGGCGGTCTGGGTAGGGTGCATCGGGGTAGCTAGGCCGACATTACCAACAGGAGTGGCAGAAGGCGCCTGATCCCAGCGGGATCGCTTCTTGGGTTCCGCCCCTGGCGCCCCTGGAGCGGGAACAGATGGTGCTTGATCCCACCTAGACCTCTTCTTGGGCTCTGGTGCCGGGGTGGCATCATCTGTAGAGGCGACATCCCATCTCTTCTTGCGCTTCCGACCAGCCGCAGCTTCAGTAGAGCCAGACTCCTCGTTCTCCTTGTTACCGGAATCCTGAAGGGTAGGCTGGTGCTCCTCGACCGGACCGCCCTCCTTCATCTTCTGTTCAATGGCGCGCCGTACGCGCTCTTCCTCGCGCTCAAGCTCGCGGCGTTCCATGATTTCCCGGTAACTTTCGCCTTCCTCAGTGGCACCTGCTTGGCGGTTGGCAGCAAATGGGTCGGCTCGTGTAGGGGTCAGAACGCGGTCAAATCGGCGCTTCTGGTAGTCGGTCTCCCTGTCGGTGATGCGGTTGCTCTTTTCGCCCCGGCCAGCCAGGGGATCATCCTCCTCGACGCCATCGCCGCGTGCAAACTCATCGATCTGAGCTCGGGTGGCGGTGTACTGTCCTACTAGGCGGCGGCCGGAGTCGGCATCTTCCATCTCTTCGTCGTCGCCATCGGCAGCAGGCAGGGTGGTGTGGTAGCCCGCAAACTTGTCGCCGGTGTTGCGTTCATACAGATCGGTGTCCCATATTTCTCCCAGCTTGGCTTTGGTGCTGTTGTCGGATCGTTGGTTGGCAGGATCAAAGCTGCGCGAACCGCTCTTGGCGGCAGCAGCAGCATTGCGCTCCTGCTGGAGCTTCTTGATCTGCTCAAAATCCGAGTCCGACATGGTGCTGGCCGTATCCTCCTCGTGTCATGTCAGGTCGGGGTCGTCGCAAGAATGTCCAGCGCGCCGCGAGGGTGAAAGATAGTACGTGGTCGGGAGGAAACGGGACGTGATGATGTGGCGCTGCCCGTGGGTGGTTGGGTGGAATTGGGTATGGTAACTGACGGGGCAGCTAAATTGACGGTGACAGTTTGACACTTTGTCGTGGTATAACTGAAGCTACAATCAGCAAAGGAATAGACGGTGGAGGCAGAAGGATGCAGGTCACGGCTGAAGATGGGCGCAGTGGATGCGGTACGGTGCACACGCCTTCCCTGAAATTTTGGCCAGCGACTGGTGACGGGACGTGACCGTGAGAGCTGACACGGGCTTGGCAAGGCTGCACCTGAAGTTTCCACTCCAAGTGGCGCCCCAGGTGCATTAGGTAAGCAGTCCAGACCTCGACGCTTCCACTCTCGATCGCTGTGGGGAGCAGGGGAGCTTCCATCCAATTCCACTTAGCTCATGTGGGGAGGCAGCACTTCCAATTCACTTTCCACAACCTCAACTTCCATCCAATCCACATCTCGCAACCTCGCTTGATCTTCGTTGCGACCAGCATGGCATCCCAACCTGCAACGCCGCTGCTGTATGCAGAGTTGCTCTCAAATATCCGCCAGATATCGCTGGCCATTTCACTGGGCTCTGCAAGCGACGCGTCAACACGAGTAGTGGTGGCAGCGGATGGGGAGAACGTCGAGCTCACACACCATGGACAGTCACATACACTACATCTACCCGCAAAGGTAGCCCTTGGCGGCGCCATTCTGCCAATACAAAGGCCTGGAGCCTCTGCGCTCTCCTGGAGGTTACCGTTGGGTCAAGCAACATACACGGATGCATCATCAGCCGAGTCGTCCACTTGGACAGCCACCGATTTGAAGGCCGGGTCCGAAGTTGTTTGTAGACAATGCCAGGCCGTTGTTGTCAAGCGAGATGTTGTCAAGGTGTGGAAAGACCTCCCGAGTGAGAACTGGGCTGAGATGATGGAGTTTTGGCACTGTCACAAACCTGGTGACCACAATCATGAGCATCACCACCACGACAAGTCAAACGGCGTTGATGCCAACGGGCAAAGCGCTAGAGCAGATGACATGAGTCTTGCAGCTCGAGGATATGGCGCGAGCTCGGCCATTTCGGCGCAACAAGGTGTTGGGTTTGTGGATTTGACAACGCTGTTATTCGTCGAGCAGGACTGTTCCAACATCACGGTAAGTCCATATGTAGCATGCTCATGACTTGGTCAATTCACCGTCTCGAATGCTTCCTTTCGAATCCTAGCAGTCGGGGCATCAAGAAGGTAGCCAAGTCGGCTTCGGCCCCTCAATGGCATGGATACCGATACAAATGCCCAAAATTAAGCAGACTCTGTCCCCTGCTTATGCGGGGCACTGAGTGGTTGACGAACTTGACATCTGTGATGGGGCGCTTCCAGTCGGTGTATGACAGGCTGAACCCTCCGCATTTCGCCAGATCATTGCCAAGTCCTAAATGCTCTGGGATTAACTGGAGGAACATCCTTTCTCAACTCTTCACACCAGTAAACCTCTCCCCTCGTCAGTTAGTGCTGACCATCTTTCCGCTCTCTAGTATTCACTCTCTACCCCTGAGCATGGATCACCAGAGAGGCAAGTTGTTGCTTCAGACGAAAGCAGTAACCAGATTCGGAGCCTCAACGTGTTTTGCTCTTCCTGTCATTCCCAGCTCGGCTTTTACAATTTCCGGACAGCCGCAGTCACGCTCCTCAAATGGCAGATCTCCTGCGATTCTGTGTCCAACCTCAGCCCAGGACTTGAAGAGTGTCTTGCCGCAACCCTGATTTCCACCATAGCACGATCAGGATCCTCCAAGTCGCTGTTGCTTCCCATCACAGAGACTATGGCAACCACAGAGGAAGAAGGGGTAGGGAAGGACCAAGTTGTCCACGTATGGGTGCTTAACAGTGGTATTGTGTATACATCATCTGCCACGGAGGCCACGGTGTCGAGGCCAGGAGCTGAAAGTGGTATCCCGGCTATCAAACTGCTTTATCGGTTGGTTCCCCGAGAGGAGGCTGACCGCATGCTGGATTCACTTACTGGCGATGCCCAGGAGGTGAACCTTCCGACAGAGGCCATCAGGGAGGTTATGGAACGTCTAGACAGGAGTAACTGTCTGCTGCCTACCACTGAACGGGTATTCAAGGAGTGGAAAGTGGGTTTATTGAGGCGGTGAATCAGATGGGAATATGTGCTCAAGTTGGTATATATTGGTAACAAAGCAGCCCCATCGGCGATATTCTCGACCTCAAACTTGACTCTTTATCCTTTTACTGGATCGTAACGTCCGGGCTGTTGTCGTCTGGACGCTGGCGTCCGGTTCAGCTTTTGGTATCACTTCCGCAGTAACCGTTTTCCGTTTCCTGGACATGGCCACTGACGTTGTGGCGGCCATCTCTTCGCTTTCTTCGATTTTGACCACCACTCCTTTATTTTTCCCGGGTTTGGGCACAACCCCAGCAGTCGTAACCATCTCTTCTTGGCTTTCCTCTTCGACTTTCACCACCCCCTTCTTCTCTACTCCTGCTGCTTGTTCGGAAAACGACTTGAGATTCGCAGTAAAGAGGACACTCTGTGCCCAACCAGCCTGAGGACCCCAGATCTTCCTGAAATGGTCGCCTACGGCCTCATACATGGCCTTGTTGAGCGTCTTGGTCTTGGCAGACCCTTTCCCACCAAGATTATAGTCTCTTTGCGCGATCTGCCAAACGTGCGTGTCGATGGGAACAGACTCGCCCCACCCGAGACCCATTAGGCACACACAATCCGACACCTTGGGGCCAACGCCCGGCAGAGTCAACAGAGCTTCATGAGCCTTCTGGTAGGTCGGTTGGTTGTCCAGGTCAGCCTTGGATTCAACAGACTCCTTCTCTTCTGCCCCTTCTTCCTTCTTCACTGAAATATCCTCCTCAGCCGCTCCCAACGCAGGAACACCCGGATTCCTCAACCTCGGCAACCACCTCTCCCCATAAACCTGCGCCACACACCCCGCCGTCTCAGCAATGTACTTGGCCCTATACCCAAAGCCCAGCTCCCTCAGATGGGCCTCGACCCCTTTCCCCGCCAACGCCTCCGGCCCGGGGAAATCATGAAACGCTTCTCCCTCCACGGTGGCCACATAGGGACCGTAGTGCGTACACAGCTTCAGTACCATCTGGCTGATGCGCGAAATGTTGTTGTTGCTGCTGCAGATGAAGGAGATCAGCGTCTCCCATGCGTCCTGGTTAAGGATGCGGATCCCCGTGAAGGCGGGCGCACGCCGGGCAAAGTTGGCATCTGAAAGAGACCATTGGGCGTAAAGGGTAGTGAGGGAGTGTGAGAGGGCAAAGTAGTTGTGGAGGAGGACGGACGTGTCGTCTTCGAAGTCTTGGGGGTGTTCATTTTTGGGAGTTGCTGTACTGGTAGGCCATGTCACTTTGTAGTGAAGATGGGTGGGATCTTGTTTTAGGGAGATGAGACGGCCTTTAAGAACGCAGTGCCTGGAAAACTGTTAGGACTTGATACTTTGAACAGAGAAAGAAAAAAAGGTAAGATAATGGTGTGTATTCGGACCATTGTTCATTTATTTTGCGCCATCTAAAGGACTGGCCGCATCGGAGTGTGGTTTCGATGCAGAGCTCTGTGAGACTGACAGGCAGTTTGCGCCATTCTGTCACTTTCTGAGCTGCCATGTCGTATTAAACACTCTTGGACTTTGCAGATAAGACAAAATTGATTTAAGGGTCTTCTATAGAGGTTTGATGTGAAATTCTGTCACCATCGATCCCTTATTATGCAGGTGGATTGGTTACTTTTGTTTCTCATGGACCCAAAATCCCAACCCGGATTTGATAGGGGACAGGCAATGTACTATAAGGGCGTATTCGATTCGCCCGGAAATGGGCTCAGAAATGGGCTTTCGGAAGTGCTTCTTACGTGGAACAGCACAGACCATTCTAAACCGGATTTTGGCGGTAAATTCCGATATTCTATGGATCCTAAGTTTATTGCTAAGACCATTTCCGAAAGCCTATTTCTAGAACTTAATCGAATCGCTAGAATACTAGAAATATCGGATTTTATAGATCTTAGCAGATATTGTAGTGTTGTTAAATATTTGTATTGCTATACGACTTTATTATCCCTCTCTTACTCTCTTTGAATAACTGGGTCCTTCTTATTGTCTTTACAAACTGAAACCCCTTATTTCCCTATATAAATAGCCGTTGATGAGTTTTTTCAAATAATTGATAGTTAATTAGGTTCCTAATTGTCCTAGTCCCAACTACCGTCTTCTTATTAAGTTCCCTCCCTCTCCTAACTACTAAATTCCTAATTTTAATCCTAATCTTAGTCTTAATTTTAGAAGGGTAAAGGGAGGGGTAAGAGGAAGGGGAAGGCTACTATTAGTAGAGAGTTTAATTAGTAATAGACTAAATTTTAGGAGATTGCTTTATTAATTCTATTTAAGAGTATTGTTAATTAGGGATTGACTAGTTAGAACGGGTATAAGGAGTAAGTATATAATAATATTATTAATGAATTGGTTAAATAATTTAATAATAGTCCTAATGTAAGCTAAGTACGTAATAAGGTTGATTACTTTCAATATAAGTAGCGTATTTAGTATATCCTTAAGAATATTTTCTAATCGGGCTTCGGATTTAATTTTAATACTAGAGCGGCGACTGTTAGTAATAAAGTATAGGAAATTCTAATTAAAGTTAGTATATTTAATTGAGTATAGTAAAAGTATATAATATAAAGTAACTAACCCTTAGTAGGTATATAAAGATGTAGTTCAATTTCAAAACCGCCCCTTTAAATACTAATAGTTAATAGAAAACGCTTTTATTAAAGATTAGGGAACTATAGGTAAATATATTAAAATATTAGGTGTATTACTTTTTTAAAAGGAGATACCCTTTGTAGCTACTCTATTTATTAATCCTTCTAGTAATGATAATAATAATAATAATAATAAGGATAAGGATTTTATTTCTATTTATATCCGTAATAGTAAAAGGAAGGCGGCTGCTGATATTAATCTTAAGAAAAAGAAGAAGAAGATTACTAGCGAAATTATTGTTAAAGGGATTCGTTTTTTTACCGAAGTTATTAAAGATCCTACCCTACTGTAAGGAGAGTAGTTTAATAAGGCGCTTTGTATTTTTAATTTATATTAGGAGTATTGTATTAATAATAAGGTTATTAAATTTGTAATACGTAAGTAGGAAGAATTTAATATAAAAGTGTGCCGCTTCCTTAGTATATTTAATGAGAAAAAGAAGGTATATTTTTATAAAATTAGAAAGTAATTGAATATAGAAGAATTAAAATTAGGGATAGAGGAGAGAAGGTTAGGGTTATAAAATAGAAGTTCGAGTATAGAAGGTAATAATTTTTTTATTAATTTTGTCTTTTATTCTAATCTTCTTTTATATTTTGATCTTTGAATTTGAAATTAGGAGTGTAATTTAATAGGGTATATATGGGAAGTGGGTCTTCCCCGGATTTTTATATTTTATTACTCTAATGTACTTTTTTAATATTTGAATAAAACTATAAAAAAAAGTCGTATATAAATAAGAATTATATTGTTTTAATTATTAGAATAAATAGAATTAATATATTTACTTTATATTATTTTTAAGGTATATTTGTAGGAGATGTAAATATTATAAATAATATTGTAATTTTAGTTAATGGGGAAAGCGGAATGCTAAGCCGATGTTAGTAATGTTTAATATATTAAATATATTGTAATTTGAAATTTGAAATATTTTAATAATTTTTATATTTGTATTCGATTTAAAAAAGCTATATTCTAGTATTCTAGGGAGTAATTTATATTTTTAAATTTATAATTTAATTAATACGATTCTATTAGATTTTAGTTATTTAGTAGGTAATTTAGACGGTTAGTATTAGATTACTGTATTTATTTTTAAACTTTAATATTATAAATTAATTCTCCTTTTCTTTTAATTATTAAATTTAATATACTTTTTCTTGTATATTTTCTATTTTAAACTTTTATATTTCCCCTTTTCTAAAGAGTTTAATATAGTAATTTTGTTATATCCTCCTTATAATACGGTTATAATATTAGAATATATACTTATTAGTATTACTAGTAAATTTGAATTATATGAATTAATTATTATTGTTATTACTTTGCTTTAATACGCCCGCGATCCCTCCTCCTATTTCGGTTACTAACTATTTGAATTAAATAATATTTTTAAATTCGAATTTTTTATTAGTAAGTAAATTATTATATTCTAAAATCCAGTTTATTAATGTTGTAGTCGTATAAATTACTTTTATTATAATTGATACGCTTAAGTTAGGAGTAATTCAGTAGATATAAAATATTCTTTTCAATTTATTAATATACTTTTTAATAACGATATACGCTTAACTATAGTGGAGGTTATATAGTTCTTCTTTATTTATAGGTTTCAACTCCGCTTTAATAGATTTTTGAAGATAGTAATATATATTATAATATAGTACAAATAATTTCGAATTATAATTATACTTAGTGTTGGCTAGGTAATACTATCCTTAAAGTATATGAAACCCTTAGTTAAACGTACTATTTAATACCTTTATATTATTTATTAACTCTTCCTAATTTGGAAGTAGGTATATAATTTTACTATTAAAATTATAAATTACTATAATATTAGTAGAGATACTACCCTTCCGATTCCGCTATAGTTTTTAAATAGAGTTTTCTATTTATATAGTAAAGTGAGAGCCGTTAATTATTTTTAATACCTTTTGAAAGTATAGGAATAATTTAGTATTAAATTCAATTTTATATTAAATATATTATTTTAGTAATTGTATCTTTCTATTAGTAAGGATAATATAAATATTTAAGACTTTATAAAATGCCCTATTTAGTATAGTAAGTAAAGGCCTATTAAATTTTTCAACCCTTAAATTGATTAATTTCGAAATAGTATTAATATTGTAACCTAATTAGAAGGTAATAAATTAAAAAGTAACCCCTTAATTAATAATAAAGAGGAAGATTATAACCTTTTCGTAAATTAAAATAAAGTGCTATAAAATTAGATTAATATAGTATTGATACAGTCCATTTTTATGTATGTAGAATAATGCATTAAAGACAGCAATTGAACGTGGTTGCGGATCGCCGGAATCACTCTGCCGGCCGGCAAAGTAGGTCCTAGCAATAAGATAAGAAAAGTAGGTCGCCCAGATAGATTACACCAATCCATCTACGCGCGGCTTCCTCTCTTCTAACTCTTTCCTTCTATATTACACTTTATACAGGAATACTATTACTTTTGTATATTAATTGCAAGGTTATTTTTTAAGGCAGAAGTAGTCTATATTATATAGTAATTGCAACGACTTTAATCCAGTCACCTTTTTCAACCTTTCTCTATTAATTGAATTTGTCACAGGCATTACTACCATGTTCCTATATATAGATAGGTACTACACTGCAGTAGTGCAGCCAGCTTGCAGCTGTCTGAGTATAGTACAGCAGTCACGTACACACGTGCTGTGGTCCGTATACTAGACCCACGCGTACCCTACATAATTCTCGTACGCGCACAGGATTCTCTTCCTATTCCTCGTATAACAATTAAAGTCTTAGCTTAGTGCTTGCTCGCGCCCCGTAATATTTTGTTATACCTAACTATTGTATTAATACGTAATAAGTAATTTCGGATAGATTAAGAGTAATATAAAATTACCGCGGTAATTTGGTCCTTGCGAAATTATATTTAGCCGACTAGTATAATCGCTAATAATTAATTAAAACGTATTCGATATTAATCGATACGAAGCGAGAATTTTATTTAAATACTACAATAATTTTAAAATTACAAACGCAATTAACCGGTATTTTTTTATTTATTATTACTTAAAGTTATAATAAAATATCTAGTCCCGGTAATTAACCGCAATCCTAGTAGGGTTAAGTTGATTTGCGTAAAGTATTCCTAATATTATTAAAAGGCTTCGATTAGCTCTAATATATTTGTAAAGAGGAAGTAATTGGCCTCTTAGTCCTTAAAGATTTCGTTGAGAAGGTTAGGGATTCTAAGGAGGTTATAAAATTGCTCTATTACTTCGATACTAAATTTAAAAATCTTAATAATAAGATTAATACTATTATAGAAGCGAAAGATAAGCTGGCCGCCGTATTTAAGAAGGAGGCGGAGGGATTTAAAATCTATATTATTATATTCGAGAGCCTTAAAGTCCAATAGGCTATTTAAGTTAATTAGTAGTAATAAAAATATAATAGTATTATTAAGGAGAATATAGTCCTATAGAAGAATATTACTTCCTTATAATCGGATAATAATTCTCTATATACTATTATTACTTAAAAGGAATACAACGTTATAGCGGCGGAGTAATAATATATTAATTTATTAATTACGTCCTAATTCTAAAATAATATATTCAAAGAGATAAATATTAATTATAAGAAAGCCCTCGCCAAGGCTAACCGGGCTAAGATCCTTCGCGAAGAGCTCGATTATACTAAATAAAGGCTCAAAGACGCCTAAATCGAAGCCTAATTCGGTATAACTAAAATAGTAGAGGTAACTATTAAGAGTTTTAAGTTCCTCGTACGCATAGACGATAATAATAAGTTAGATATATATAATATTGAAGAGGAGGTTCCTAGAGGAGGAGGTTCTAGTTGTATTGATAATAGTAGTAAGGATAGAATTATTATTAGCGGTATTAGTATTAGTAGGTTCGGCGTTAGCAGTATAGGAGGAGCTAGCGAATTTGCCGGTTAGAAGCCTAGAATGGGCGGAGGTATTAATAGATTTAAAGGGTTCAATCCCGGTAGTCCTAGCGGTTTAGGCGGAGGTAATAGCCCTATTAATTACTTTATAAACTTAAGAGGATATTATTTTATTTCCGTCCTAATAATAAATATTTATATCCAACGTCGTAATTTAACTAAAGACCCGGAATAGTTTATAAGCGAGGAGAAGAATACGTTTAAACATTATAATTAATTTATTATTTAGTCTACGGCTATTCGTACCCGTTAGAAGGTTAATAATTATAATTTTATAGATAAAAAGACTAAATTCTTATATACTATAGGCTATTTAGGTGGCGAAGCTAGAGTTACTATTGCTATAAATATAAAGAAGATCCTAAATAACCTTTATTATTCAGTTACCTAGGATTGGCCTATAGGATAGGAATTCTTAGATTATTTAGCCTTTCGTTTTTAATAAAGCAATATTATTACTATTTCCGAAAAGGCTATAGCCTAATTAAAGCAGGGTACGGGCTCTAATAGTAAATTCGCCAACTTTGCCGATTTCGAAATATAGTTTACTATATTAGCGGATAAATATAGTTACAATACAGTTATAAAGGTCTATATATTTAAAGATAAAGTTAATAAAGATTTCTATACGGCGATATTTTACTAGTACAATACTTCTAATCGTAATAATTGGGAAGGATGGGTAAAGTTGTACCGCAATTTATTTAAGTCCTTTAATAACGCTACTTTCCGTAATAACGGCGGTTAGATTAGTAATAGTAGTAATAATAGTAGTAATAATAGTAATAATAATAGTAATAAATAAAGGGACCCTAAAGTTATAGAGATCGATCGCCTTAAGATAAACGAAATTAATCTGGAAATTGTTTAAGCCTGCTTTATAGCTAGATAATATATTAAATATAGCAAACCTAACTATTAAATTTATAAATATTATAATTAAATTAATTACGGCAGTAGGCCTAAAGTTACTAATAATAATAATTCTAATACTAATAAAGGTAATAGAACCTAAAGTAACGGAACTAATAGGTAGAACGTTAGAACTATAGCGGATATTACGCTTCCTTCGAGGGAGATAGCCGATATAGCACCCCCTAAAGCTAATACTACTACCTAATAATAGGGAAATAGCGAGCCTTCGGATTAAAATATATTTAAGGGCCTAGCAGGGATTAGAGAAGTAGGAAAGAAGGAAGAACGAATAATATTATTAAGAATATAAGTATTTAATAGGCTCTTATTTATTAGAAAGGCGAACCTTTATTTATAGAAAATTTAAATATCTATAAATAGAATACTACCCTTTTATCCATTTATCTTTAATACCCCTAATATAATAATAAAATTAATTATATATCGCTAATCGACTCTAGTTATATAAGAAAGGCTTTTATTAATAGGACTTTCACTAAGAAGGCGTGCTTTGAGATATACAAATTTAATAAAATAAGACCCCTTTATTTAATAAATAGTGGTTTTAAGGAATAGATTATATATTACGTAGAAATAATTATACGGATTGGTTATTATAAAGAAACGGTTAGACTTTTTATTGCTAATTTAATATACGAATATTCTATTATCCTAAGCTGGCTATAATTGTAATTATATAACCCGGATATTAATTAGGTAACTAATAAGGTTATATAGAATAAGGAATGTATTAAGAGTTGTATTAATACGTTTAATGTAATTAGAACATTAATAACGTTAGTATTTCTAACTTTAGAATTAATAGTAGACTTATTATTAAAAGAAGAACCGATAACGGATTTATCCTTAAATAAAGAAAAAAGAGTAATTAAAATATTAAAGCACTAAGTAGCCGCTAACTCTAAGAAACCCTAGGTAGCGGAGTGGACATTAATTAATTGGGCGTTAGTATATCCTACGAAAGCGCTAAAGGGGAGGTAAGCGTTAATAATAGAACTACTAATATAGCTAGTAGCGGCTAGAGAATTCGAAGAACCTTTTGGGCCTAAAAGGAAATTTAGTAAAATTAGAACGATAATAGAAATTAAAGGAAGCTATAGAATTTGGAGTATAGTAAGACCGGAACGGATTTATTATACTTATTTCTATTAATTTAAACCTGCGAATATAGAAATAAACCCCTTTAATTCCGAAGACTTTAGATTAATTAATACCGAGGCCTTTACAATAATTATTAGAATAAAAGGAGTATGTATTAATTTAACAATATAGGTAGAATTTAATAAATTCTAGAAAGAGAGGCTACGTATCTCTATACCGGCCCTGTTAGAGGAAGTATAGAAAGATATTATAATAGGTAAAAGCGAGCCTTATAAGAAGTATTTTAACGATTTTAAAATTTATAAGATAATTGATATTTATAAAATAGAAGTAGTAGGGGAATAGACTTTTAAAGCGTCCCTCCAACTAAGAGAAATTACCTAAGTATTTATAAATTACATTTATAATTTGGGGAAGGAAGTAGAACTAATACTATTAATAAAAGTTAATTATATTTATAATATTATAAAGAAAGATATATAAAAATTTATAGAGAAGTTTACTAGGCCAAAATATACCCCCAAGGAAGTTAGGGAACGGTTCTTAAATAAATATAAGGATTTATCTAAGGTAGTAAACCCTATAAACGTTAAAGTATTACTAGAATACTGTTCCTACAATTATAAAATCGAATTAATATTAGGTAATAAGCTACTTTATTTTAGAGCAAGGCCTATATTACTTTAAGAATTTAAAATTATTAAGTAATAATTCGACAACAACCTTATAAAAGGATTTATCCGACCCTCTACCTCCAACGTAGCGTTACCCGTATTATTCGTATATAAATTAGGCAGAGGTATAAAAATTTACGTCGATTATAGGGGGATTAATAATATTTTATTAAAGAACCGATACCTTCTATTATTAATTAGAGAAATTCTAGACGCTATTTATAAAGTAAAGTGGTTTACGAAAGTAGATGTTATTACAGTATTTAATAGACTACGTATAATAGAAGGCTATAAATAATTAATAATTTTTATTATATAATTTAGATTGTACAAGTTATTAGTATATCCCTTTAGGTTATTAAGAGCGTTGGTATCTTTCCAAAACTTTATTAATAATATACTATATAATATCTTAAATATTTATACTACAGTTTATTTTAATAATATTTTAATTTTCTCCAAAATATATGAAGAATACGTAAAATACATTCGGGAAGTATTCTAACGCCTAATTAACGCCGGACTATAAATCGATATCAATAAGTACGAATTCTATATTTAGCAAATGAAATATTTAAGCCTGATTATTACCCTAGGGGGCATTAAAATAGATTTAAATAAGGTAGAAACTATTACCCGCTAGGAAGCGCTAATATTTAAACAGTAATTATAGTAGTTTTTAAACTTTATAAATTTCTACCGCTAATTTATAATTTAATTCTCCTTAATAGTTAAACTATTCTACGAACTAATAAAGAAGGGCGTAAATTGGCAATAGGAAGTTAGGTATAAAGTAGTATTTATATTATTAAAAGAAGCGTTTATAATAGCCCTAGTATTAAAAATTTACAATTAGAAAAAATTAATAGTAGTAGAAGTTAATATTTCTAATTAGTCATTGGGCGGAACCTTATTATAAATATACAACAATAGTTAATTTTATTTAATTACTTATTTTTCAGCCAAGTACCTAGCCGTTGAATATAATTACAATATCTATAATAAGGAGTTATTTATAGTCGTAAAGGTATTAGAAGAATAGAGGCCAGAATTAAAGGAAGCCGTATAGCCGTTTGAAATTATTACAGATTATAAAAATTTAAAGACCTTCAATACTACAAAGAAGTTTACGCTTAAATATATACATTAATCGGAATTTCTATTACAATTTAATTTCTCAATTAGATATAGATTAGGTTCGGTTAATATACACTTAAACACCCTAAACAGGAAGCTTAAATACATCCCTAAGGATATTTTTAATAATAAATTATAAATAAGGGAGAAACCGCTAATCGACCTAAACCGTTTCGACGAATCTTTTAATTCTAAGGAGGATAGCATTTATATTAATATTATATTAGATATTGGGGAGCCGTTAGTAATTTATATATTTAAAGGCGAAGGCGAAGGAAATAAAGTAATTTATATTAATAATTTAATATTAAAATTTTATAGTAACTCTATAATAATAGTTAAAATTATAATAATAATTAAGGAAGGTAAATATTAGCTTAAATATTTTAAGAAGGTTTTGTGTATTCCCTTCGCGGAATGCTACTTTATTAATAGTAGAATAATATTTAGGGATTGGGTAATAATACTATTTAATAACGATAAAGTTTAGTTGGATTTAATCTATAGGACTTATACTTTGGTACTAGGCGGTTACTTAGGAAGGGATAAGATATTTAATTTAATGAACCGTACGTATTAGTAGCTAAGTTTAATTATAATAATTAATACTTATTATAGAGGCTACTTTTCTTACTCTAAAACTAAACTATCCCGAATAGTACTTGCAGGCTTCTTAAAACCATTACTATTATTTTATGTACTATAGTAGGATATTTCCGTAGATTACGTAATACTACTGCCTAGATTAAAGAGGAATAGGAAGGGAGTAGCCTATTAGTATATAGTTATAGTAGTTAATAGATTAATAAAGATAAGGTACTTTATCCCTTGCAAAGGATTGACGATTGAAAAATTAATAGAAAAATTCATCGACTATATTTATACGTTATATAGTTTACTAGATACTATTATATTAAATAGAGGAATATAATTTATATTTACCTTCTAGTAGTAATTTTCGGGAAGGCTGGGTATTAAGCTAAAACTATCTACATTATACTATAAGGAAACGAACGGTTAAATAGAGAGGATTAATGCAGAAATAGAATAATACCTTCAAACCTTTATTAATTAGGTTTAAAACAATTGGGTAAATTAATTAATATTAGCCGAATTCTAAGGAAATAACCTTTAATTAGTAATTATAGGAGTATTATTATTCTTTACTAATTATAGATTTTATCCTCGGATAGGCACTAAACCTTCGAAGCTACTATTACTAGACGCGTTACTAGAATAACGGTAATAAATATTTAAAATTAATAAGATTGTAGAACATTTCAAAACAGTCTAGAATAAATTAATCGCATTATTAAAATAAATTCAAGATTAATACAAGGTAGCGGCCAATATAAAAAGGATAAACGTCCCTAAATATAAATTAAACAATATAATTATATTCAATATAAAAAACTATACAATTAGCCGGCTAGTGGCAAAGTTGTTACCAAGATTCGAGGGCCCCTTTTATGTTATAAAGGTAAATTCCTATTCGTTAGAACTATTACTACTAACGAATATAAAAGTTACTTATATAATTAATATCTCGAGGGTTAAACCTTACATAGAAGATTTACTAGGATAGTCAAACCTAATTATAAATATTAAGGCTAATAAGGGGATAATTATTACTAGAACCGATAATTTCGTTGAGGAGAGACGTTAGGAATTCGAAGAATTATTAGACTACTAGAAGGTAGGAAGCAACTAGTATTATTAGGTAAAATAGACTTATTACCCCCCTAATTAGTAATTAGCAACCAATTTAGAAGGTTACTACGAGTTAGTTTGGGAATTTTACAACGTTCGCCTAAAGCTAGGCCCTCCTTACCCAATTTTTAAAAAGGGATTTAAAGTATAATAAAAAGTAAAAAGTACCCAAATACCCCCGATAATATACTATTATAATTAGAATGACTATTACTAGAATTAACCTTAAATTAACCGGTAAGACGAAGTACGAAGTTGAATAATAAATAAAGAAGGTAAATTAGAGTAAAGGCGAAAAAACTAGTAAAAATTTAATAAAAAAGGAGTTTAGTTCGATTTATTCCGCATACCCTAATTAAATACCTTATAGTACACCCTTTTATAAAGCAACCATTAATAGCACCGAGAGATAGTACGTCTTACGGCGGTCTTACATCTCCTATACCCTAGAATAGCCCTACGTAATTAATATTAGAAGATTAGAAGATAAGAAGGATTTAAAAACGTTAATAGTACGATAATTGAGCATTTAAAGAGAAAAACGAATTATAGTAGGGAATTGAATACGTAAACTCTTTAAATTTATATTAATAATAATTATAGGCGTCCCCGTAAACTACTATACTATAGGCATCCCTATAGTACCCCCGGTAGGGCTAGTAATAGTAGGAGCTATTAAAGTTCTCTATATACGGTAATTAGACTGGTTTTTAGCGTATAAATGGATTATTAAAAGTAATAATAATTCTTATAGTAAGAAGGTTGGATTTAATAATGTTTTAATTAATAATCCGCCCTTAAGCGGGAGTTAAAGTACTGGCGGGTATTAAATACCTTCCTGTTTTAATAAGAAATTTTGCCGATACCTAATTGGATATAGCTACGGAAAGGTCGGAAAGGCCTACTTTATTAATAACAACGGATTTTCTAGAAAAGAGCTTCATTTTGGAAGGGGGTAATATCACAGGCATTACTACCATGTTCCTATATATAGATAGGTGCTGCACTATAGTAGTACAGCCAGCTTGCAGCTGTCTGAGTATAGTACAGCAGTCACGTGCACACGTGCTGTGGTCCGTGTACTAGACCCACGCGTGCCCTATATAATTCTCGTACGCGTATAGGATTCTCTTCCTATTCCTCGCACAACAATTAAAGTCTTAGCTTAGTGCTTGCTCGCGCCCCGTGATAGAATTGTAGTAGATCGTATAGAAACCTATAATCTAGTCGAGTTATAATAGGCTAGAAAGTATTATATTGTAATTAATTTAAATAGGTTATACCGCTCCCCCACCTCTAAATAATTTATTACTGCCTAATCGAATTGTAGTAGACTATAGCGATATATACTTCCCTATTACCGTTAATTAACTAAATTGTAGTAGGTTAAATGATATTCACTTCGCCTAATAAACTTTAAATTCTTATATAATTTACTACCTAAATCCGAGGCTCTTAAATCGCTAAATTATAATAGGCGAATACGAAATACCTTCAACGCAATAGGTTTCCCCCTACTTTCGAATTTAAGTAAATAGTAAGTATTTCCTAATCCTTTATATTTATTTAATTCTATTTTTTACTTAAGCGTTAATAACCGAAAATCGACAATTATCGACCAATATAGTATCCTAACTAAATAAGCTACCCAATAAAGGCTCCCTATTAGAACGAGTTAAATTTGACGCCGGTACGATACCCCCTTCTAAAAGATTAATAATACCCTGCGATCTTCGAGCCTTAGCAAGAAATATATATTCTAAATTAACTAGTAAATAGTTCGATTACGAATTTAAAATTATAAGTCTACCTCCTAATTAATTACCTCCCGATTAATTACCTCCTAATTAATAACCCTCCGATCGCTAGTCTTAAAGTTAGAATAAGAATTAATACGATCCTGCCCGACTACCTATACCTAAGGCTCCTAAGAGAATTGGGAATAATGTAGAAATTATAATGTACGTATTAAATAAGATTAATCGGAATACCTTTAATTAGAATACCCAATATTGAAGAATCGATTATAATACTAACTGTCTTCGAATAAAAATGGACGAAATAATAAATTGTATAAAGAAAGTTAAAATTACCTTTAATAATCTTAGTAAAATTAATAATTAAAAGTATTATAAAATAAGAGTAAGGATGGATATTATAGAAAAAGGTATTAATACTACGCTTAATATAGTAATAATAAAAATAGATTAAATTTTAGTATATTGTATTTTGGTATAGTTATATACTTAATTACTAAATAATTAGTAAAGCCCCTAAGGATTATTATTGTTTTTCTTAAAAGCTATATCGTAGTAAGTACGAAATATTTAATTAAATGGTTTTATTCCTATAGTAGAAGGCTACTTTACTAAAATTATAGTTAATATTATAATAAATATTAGATTACTTAAAAATATCGTACTCCTACTGCGTAAAGAGAGTTTTTTCCAATTATCCCCCTATTATCTAAAAATTATCGATGAATAGTATAATAATATTTTCTCCGCCCTTAATAATTTAAAGGAGACTGTAATTTATTGTAATTATTATTTAACTTAAGGAGGTTAAATTTCCTTCGGCCTGTTTTTAGGATTTTCTAATTCTTCTAAATATAATAATTTATATCCGGTAGTAATAGGATTCCCGCTTATAACGGCGAAAATATTTAAATATAAATTACCCTAGGTAGAAGATAGAAGTAGAACCCTAACCTTTATATATAGAAATCCTTTATAATTAATTGCGGCCGAATTGGTTATTCCCCCTTATTAAAATTAGAGTAAGGTTTCTACGCTTAATTCTTAAAATATTATTATTCCTCTTTATTAGAGTAATTATTTAATAGTATTCTAGCCGAAGTTCTTTATAGTTTCCGAACTGTATCCAATTAAATAGTTGTTAGTACTAATATTTTAAATTTTATATTATTATATATAAGTATTAATCGCGGTAGCTCCGTAGTTTTGTCGAAATCTAATTAATTAGTTATAAATCGTCGCTTAAGTAATAGTACCCTAGTAAACTTTATTTATCGATTTAACTTCTCTAGTAATTAAGCCCGTCGCCCTAGCGACGTTCTAAGTTACTAATAATAAAATACTATATAATAATTTATATAAAACTATCTAAAGTATAGAATATAATTTTACATTCGCTATTCTCATCCCGTATACGATTTAGTATTAGGTTAAGGAGTACTTAAATTTCTATATACCTAGCGAATACAAATACCTCGTCTCTAAATTAAAATACAATAATATAATTCCCGTTAATTTATTAACCGGCCCCCCGAGTAGCCCGTTAAATAGTCCACTAAACGGCCCGCTACGAAGAGGAATAGGAGGATTAGGCGATTCTAATAACGATGGTAGCGATAATAAAGACCCCGATAACGGAAATAGGCGTAAATTATAGCGACTATTTAATAAAGAGCGGTTATACTATAAACTTTTTATAGGATTATATATTGTAGAATTTAAATTGAAGCGAAAAGAAATTGGCTACTTCTACCCTTATTGGGAGGACCTTAATAATTTAGGTATTATTACCGACGGTCGAAATTTAATTTACATTAACGTTTTTTGCTTCGTAGATAGATTGAGATCTTTTACTGAAGATAATATATTAGTTAATTTAGTAGAATATTAATTTATTACTATATTCTAAATTCTCCTAGGCGGTCTAATTATTTAATAGTAGAGTATAGAAGTATCCTTAGAAATAAAATGTACCCTTCGATGCGGGTTATTAGAAGATTTGTTCGATACGTTTATTGAGAGGTAGACTCTGGACTCCGCTATTACTATTAAGAAGTTTATTGAAGGATTAATTATGTTAAAAGATATCGCTGCTAATAAGAATGCCCTATTAGACTTTATATAGAAATAATTATACTATACGCGTACTATAAGCATCCTTAGAAAAGATTTATTAAATTAGGCCGGTATTATAATTCAAACCTAGTTTAAAATAAACTTATATATTCAAATTTATTTTAAACCCCCTAAATATAATTTACTAAATAATTATATTAAAGAAATAGATAAAGTAAAAATTATATTTATATCTGTAGCTGCTAGGCAATACCCCTTCGTTAAATACATTACCTATTCTTTAAATAAGGATAAAAATAATAACGTTAAATTAATATACAAATCCTTTTAATAATAATTAGGAAGAAGGGACAACCGCAATAATAGTTACTATAATAAGGACCGGAATAGTAGAAATAGTAGAAATAGTAGAGAAAACAACCGATACTGGGATTATAATTGCGACTATCAAAACCGCGACTAAAATAAGGACCGAACGTATTACATCGCTAATAATAAGTCCGCTAATAATTAAATTCATTATATCGATAGCGGAGGTGATATATTGGATAAATTAATAATATTAAATTCTAATAATAAAATTACTAATATAGTCTATAATACTAGCCTTACGTATTATAAATACTATAGTATATTTACTTCAGACCTTAAAGCCCGGCGATATTAACAGAAATATAAATTAAATAAGAAAATATAGTAGGAAACCGTATTTATTAAACCGATAAGGGATAAATATATTTACTATAGTTATTAAACTATATTGAGAAACGCCTTATTCTATTATACAAAGTATTACTCTAAAGTAAAAGAGGGTATTATTAAAGGAATACCGTTCGATCTATCTTACCTTATACGGAATTTAGAGGAGGATAAAGAAAAGCTAAACTCCTATAATATTATTAAAGTACTTTTATTTAATAATTAAAATATTAAAAATAATCTATTATTAAATTATATTTATTTGCGAATTAAATTTAAAGCCGACCTCCAATCCTTAAATTACAAAGTATATATTAACCCTAAAGCTAGAAAATCTATAATT